TTGACAATTTTTACAGTACCATCAGTCAAATAAAATCTTAGTAATTAAGTGTTTTTAATATATATCTAGTTCAATTCTAATAACATTTATTTTCAACATTCTTTGGTCTAGACTGCCAAATGCAGAAGTAATGACAATTTTAGCGACAAAGCTATCAGCATGTTACTAAAACAAGTCACTTTTGCCATTTCTTTTCTACAAAGTGTTGAAAATAAATGTCAATAACATTTTTCATCCCAAAATAACAAATTTAAAATTAACTCTTTAAGACCTAGTGTACATAATTATTCACTTTGGACCCTAAATTTTTATATTAGCAAAGTAATGATTTCGTTGATATAATACTATTGATCCATTCTAGATAGAGAGAAAAAATAGACTTGTATTCTTCATCCCAAACCATGCAACTGTTGATATTTGAAATTGTCTAGTTTTTCATGGGAAAAAGTAAGCAAATTTTATTCCCTTGATTTTGTAATATTAAATCTACAAGATTGGCGTTTTTATATTCATTGTTATGGTTATAAAATTTATTGAATTTTGTAACTGAGATAACACGTGCATTTTTTAAGAGGAAAAATTTTTACTCGAGCGGAATCGATGTTTCTGAATCTCAAAGGACTTAGTACTCAATACACGTTAATATTTCGACACGATTCAATATCTATGCAAAATGTGACGATATTTTGTGTGTAAATTAGCGTTTAAAATATTAAAAGCAACATCTATTCGAAAGTGTCGCTACTGAGGATTCTGTAAATTGTCGAAGAGCGTAGGCGGCGGCGACTGTAAACACGTGGGAGAGGAAGTAAAAAGGAATTATGGGGAAGCTGTCGGAGGAGGGCTGTGACAACGCGGTGCCGCAATAAATCCGGCTACGGTCGTCGTTTATAACGCATGTGTCCGGTGAACGTTGCGCTTTTGCGATTACTCGTTCACGGCAGTAAATACGTTGGGCGGAAATTTATGGGCTGGCGCGCTGCCGTTTCACGCGCGATTATAACGTCTTCGTTTGGGGATGATTTAAGCAACGTCCGTCGCGAACGTGGTGCGTCGTTAACGCTCGCTGGTCTCGTACCTGGCGTGAAACGTGAGGAAATTGGGGCGAAGACCGACTATCACGCGATTTCACAAATTTGTTTTACTCGTCATTAACTAACCGCCTGATGAATACGGAATAAAGTAAAAGTCTCGTTTCTCTCAAGGTTCACTATACATAATTTTCACTCTTTCCTCTTTCCTCTCTTTTTTTTCAATTAACAAGAAATTTCGTAGCAAAAATTCAGCTCAGACGAAGTTGGTGCGTACTATCCACGAAGCCAATTGCGAGGGATCAAGTTCTTTGACGAAAGGTCGACCAGCGTTACCAGCGGAAGGGGATTGAAGAGAACGACGATGCACGAGACGGAAGAGGGCGTTCCTCCTTTTTGGGTGGCATGCGACGGGACGAGAGCGACGACAACGTTATTTCGTGGTTATCGCGGCGCCAAAAGTGCCGGTGCTTGTATTAATGCTGAGAAAATACGAGACACAGGGGTTGGAGTAACAGCTCGGTGAGAGGCGGGAAAAAGGAAAACGAGACGAGAAGGAACAGACAGCCGAGAGTTGCGCGTCTTGCGGCAGGAGGCAGTAATTGCGTTATTAACTTAAAAGTGAGGTTCTCGAGAGAGAACCGGGGGCGAGAAAGGAAGAGAGACAACGACGAGAAAGGTAGAATGAAGGGGAGGGGGAGAGAGAGAGAGAGAGAGAGAGAGAGAGGGAGGAGGGAAGGGGAAGAGAAAGAACGCGCGACATCAGAATGTTGCCGGTTGGTCTTCGCGTATTTTTTCGCGGCACCGTATATATACCTGCGAAACGACAGCGCGGACACGGAATTGCAGGTGAACTACCACGAATCCACCCGGCGGCACGCGATGAGAGACCACGGATAAGATGTCGTTATTGCCATTACGGCGGATCAACAGTCAGTCCTCGGATTGGCCGGCGTTAAAAAGTAACAGGGTATTCTCTTTCTCTCTTTCTTTCTTTCTTTCTTTTCCTCTCTTCAGACAAATGCAATCGATTTAACCGAGACGAGAATTTCTGTGTTCGAATCACGTGACGTTGGAAAGTAATCGTAACTCGCGTTATCAATAAGGCGATATGAATTGCGGCTGAACGCGTTAAGAGATAGCGCAATGTTTGGAGTTTGATTGGGATCGATTCTCCAAAATAATTAGAAGTGTATATGTTTAAAAAATGCGATTTCAAATAAAAATCTCAAAATTTCTCCAATATTCCTTCTGATCTTCATTTTGCATTACAATTGAACAAAACATATGCTGACCTTAATTAATTTCATTATCCAGTAAAATATTCAAAGTTTTTAATCCTACAATCCTAAACTTGGGTAAAATTTATTCAGCTTTTCAAACGTTACCATTCCTTGTGTATGTTTTGTATATTTTAAAGTTCGACTATAATGAAAAATAGTATAAATTACTATAGAAATAATAAATTTGACCAACTATCTGATATATAATATGAAAAATATTTAAATAATCATAATAATTTCGTAGTGAAGAACCAAATCTGCATAAAATTTTTAAACAAATATGTAGTAATGTCGATCATAAATTTGTATAGTTCAAGATTACAAAAATTTTTATGTAATTTTTACTGCAATATTTTCTTCGTGTACAATATTTCTGTTTTGATTCTAGCCGGAGAAGCCATGCGTTTGGGACAAGAATAAAATTTCTAATCGGTAGCGTGGTGAGATAATCAATTTGTCAAATTTGGGCATTGTAATTGGAATCTATCTGGAAAAAATTTAGAAAATTTCTGTGCGGGACGTGGACGACGTAAATTCAATCTCTATTTAGAACGAAACGATATAATAGCGAAGTCGCGTACTCGTCTTTCGTATGTTACCTATGACCGGCTTTGCACCATGATTACATCAGGTAGAAGAACCCACCATGGACCTAGGCCTTAATAGAGACGTAACGCCATACACAGTCACGTTACACAAAGCATGGGGCTGAGTCACGACCGATCAATGTTATACGCGGTAGGTTCAACCTCCAAAGTGTTTTTGTTCTCTTCGTCTATTGATAAGTCAATCAATCGACACCGATCCTCTCTGCCCGATTCTTATGAGTACGGAGCATCGAGATTAGATTCTACACTGAGAGAAAAAATATCTAAGAAATAAAACAATACCTATTCGGTAGACAACATATTTACTAATGTAAAATATTTTTCAAATATGAAAATACATTTTTTAAAAAACCTTTAATATAGCTTTTCACGAAAGCCAATGTTCATTTCATTTGAATAAAAGAATTTAGATTTAAGTATGTTACTAGTACTCGCTGAATAAATATTTGTCTGTATTTTAGATATTTTTTCAGTGTAATTAGCGAAATGCAACGTTGTAATATTTACGTTAACTCTAACAGTGAGTAATCCCACAGAGATTTGAATATCTATGAGATACTCATTGTCGTTAGCAGCGTTATATAGCGTTTTTTCATTTTAAGAGTTCGCACTCTGAAACCCTAATGCGGCGGATAAAAGATTTGAATTTAAAATAAAGTTACAGTTGATTAATTATGAGGACCCTAAATTAATTTGTATACTTAATATCATTAGAATTGGTCAACAGTGCCATGGTTGGAGTAAATTTTCTCGATTTAATAGCAATATTATTTCGTTTGTTTTTCTTTCTTGTATTTGGTTGAAACATTTCGTGAACATTTTAGTTCACTTCTTCAGGGAGCAAAGCGACCTAAAATATTTTAATAGCAATATTATTGAAACTATGTATGATGTATTAGTTTCAACAATATAGCTGTTAAATCACAAGAAGATTAACTCCAATTGATATAATATTCTTTTCTCCGATATACAATCTGAATTTATTTCATTCTCTGATACTCAACGTTGTATAATTTTACGGCTAAAACCAGTAGATTCTCGTTGCGGAAAAAATTTCAAGAATTCAGAAGGAAGCGCGCGAATTTTTTGGAGACACGTCCAATGTATTCTGGTATATTTTTTACAGCGGACACACGAAGACACAGATTCCTACGAGGATTTTGACGTAGATTTTTATTCGTGCCGTCGTGGGAGTCGCCATGTTTTATATGTATGTTATGCATCTCACGTTGTACATTATTTTCCGGCTTTTGTCCGGCGAATTTAATGCCGTGGCAGCCGAAATATCTCGGAAGGGAATCAAAGTACCGTGTCTTTCGCTATACGCGGACTTGAAGGACGCTACGGTGCGCGTATAAGTACCTTATGTTCCCACGCTGGAGCAGCCTCGAGGGCTTCCCATTCCGCTATCGGCTCCTCACATTGCCCGGTATCATGTAGGTATGTATGTACCTTCGTACTCTTGAGAAGGGGCATGTACAGGGTGTACCGGTAAAACATATTGGGCCGCGGTTTCGTGAGGCGAATTAACGACGTCGGGTAAGAAGGCGAGAGAGAGAGAGAGAGAGAGAGAGAGAGAGAGAGAGAGA